TATATATATATATGGTGGAAAGTGGGGTAACATCGGGTACAATTTTCTTTACTAATCAAGAAGGACTTACCATATTGGCGTGTTGTTAAGTGATTCATGGCATCTATATAGTCAAGTGATACTTATTTATTGATCAATACAGTGAGAAAAATTATTTTTAGTCCAGCTTACTATACGTTTACTAAAAACTCATACTTTAGCAAACAATAAGGATTTTACCCGATAATTGGCACTGTTCTGTTTCGTTTCCTTATTTTCTGCTCGCAGGATAAAACCAGTCCAGTACCCTCATCCCCTTTATGTATGCCTACACTAGGTCTATGCTAAGCTGTTGTGGAATGGAGGAAGAAGATAATTACATCCAAGGCTGAACAAAGGACAAAATTTATTGTCGGCCTATCCTTAGAGCACAAAAAAACCTTATTTTGTAGAATGTTTGAAGATCATTTATACAAAAAAATTTTTTATATAGATGTAAACAAATTCTTTCCCATTTTCTTTTGAAAAAACACCATATCTTTGATGAAGAATTTCGGTTGTGCCCTTAGTCATCTCGGTGCCCAAGACAATCATCCCCCCCCCCCTCNCCATCCCCCCCCCCTCTCTTTGAGTACGGCCTTGACTATATCCCTTTTAAATTACCTGAATTTTTTTGTAATTATCAAACATAGAAATATCTCCCACATTCTTTTTCTCTGAAATTCGAGTCTTTCTAAATTTCCCATCGAGTTAACATGCTACTCGCTAATGCGGTAAAACCGAATAGTTTGGCCTTTTCTAAAAGAAAATCTTTTATAAAAAAAGTAATATATCAATGACATTTGGAGAATGATACATTGTGCACAACTGATCAGTGAATATCTTTGTTGAATCTGACAGTTTCTTGGTTGAACAGCTTAGCTCTAACAGGCCTTCGAATCTCAGCTACCCGGTATTATCCCATCTTCCCCTATAAATGGATTCTTCTTCAGGTTCCTCTATTGTTTCACCTTTTTCTATTGCTTCCTCACCCTTTTTAAAAAAATTCCGAAAAAGACAATTTTAAAAAAATGTCTTATATTTTTAAGGATATCTGTGTTTGAAACGTATTGTTCTAATAAGGCATTGAAATGTATGGATATCATACCTTTCTGCATGGATAGGAATTCTTCTACATTTCTGAATACATAGGGATTCGTTTATATGGATACAAATTTTTCTTCCTCTTTTCTTTTGTAAGCGAGCACAGATGATTTTTAACTCCATAAATGTCAAGATAATATATTCAAACTGTATCGATTCTTAAATTGTTTTAAAATATCTTACCGAGAGTTTTTAACTACATTGATCGTTTACATAACTTCATTTTTTTAGTAGATTGAAGTCACTTACAGCGATGATCTGCAAATATTTTCCTGTCATAACTCAATGACGTTAAGAAGAATTAAAAATTCTTAGAGTATAATCATTATAATCATTCAGTTCCTTCTCATTCTTTTTACAATATACTCATTCTGTTAATTCATTCTGTCTTCTTATAATATAATCAATCTGTTGATTCTCATTCGTCTAACAATATAATCATTTTCTTTATTTCCCTTCTTCTTGCAATATACTCATTCTGTTCATTCTCATTCTTCCAACAATATAATCATTCTGAATAACTTTGATCGTTAAAACAACTTCCTTCTTTGAATACATAAGTCATTCACGGCAATAATCTATAACTATTTTAATGACACAGCACAATGACGTTAAGAAAAAAATAGAAATTCTTACAATATATTCAATTCTCTGAATCACCTATTGCAAAAGTGCCCTTTACACTGCTAATAAAATCGTTAAATGAAGTGAGAGATCAAATATATTTACCGTGGATTTGTTTTAGAAATTTTATGGCGTAAAAAAATATATTAGAGAAAATTCTGTTTCAAAGATGTATTATTTACGTGCCACTGTGTATTTTTACCCATGGGCAAAATGGGTCTTCTTTTGGGTTTGATGGCATGCACACTTTATTTGGACGTCATCACACTTTTCAACTGTGTTTAAGACTAATAGTAAACAGTGCGCATGCGTCGTCATTGCATGCGTTACTATGGCGACCGCTGATGTTTGATAATTTCTTTTGAATTCTTTTTTCCTTTTTATTATCATCAGCAGTCATTCTTAATGTATTTACATAATAATAATTTAAAGTTTTTTTTATATTATTTTTATTATTAAATTATAATTACTGTCTTGACGGTGATTTCAATTTAAATATGAATACTGAAAAAGGAAAAGTATTTTGTGACGTCTTGAAACACGTCTGAAAAAAAAAAAGAACATTTGACCAATGAGTGACTAGTGATCGTAATAAAGCGATAAGAATTTTTTATACATGTATACTTTTTGAGTATTATTTTAAAAATTTGTTTTAATTTTTTTTATTGAATTTTATTGTATTAACTTCTATGAAATATTTTTGAATACCGCGATATAGACTAACTATTAGTTAAAGCAAAACATTACTTTAACTCGTCAGCTTTTAATCTTTTTTTAATCTTTTCTAAAAAAAAATTCACGATTAATTGTTCGTGAAATTTTAATTCCGGCATAAAAAAATGCATAAATATAAGCTTTTTTTAAATCTATAGAAAATTTATGTAAGTTAATTATTATGATATAAAGATTTTAACGTATGCCTTTAATCATCAAACTTCAGCAATTGTTAACAAAAAAGGCATAGATCCAAGTTTGACTTCTATTGCACTCTCAATAGCATATTATTTAAAAGTAAATGTAAGACACTTTAAGTTGCGTCTTCTGTGGGATAAAATTAGCTTTTCCTTTGCGTAAACAACTAATGAACTATTTAATGAGTTTATTTGGATCAAAAATATTTAAAGTCTAGGAGTATGTTTAGGTGTATGACAAAGATTGATTAGTTTACATGTTTAAGTAAAAAATCGTTATTTCTGTGCAATTCCTTCATTATTTTAATCATATTTTATCAAGAACATTGATTAATGCCACTAAAGTCAATGAGGATATTTCGTAAAGGACATTATGTTCTGTCGCGGTTGTCGCTTAGAAGAGGAAAAATGCTCAAGTCTTACTCATTAATCATGTTGTAATCGACGTTGAAGTATGATAGATTGGTTGCTGTTATGACGAAGAAAATGTAATGGCTGTTAAAGTGTAAAATTACAGGTTATCATTGGAAAAGTTAAAAAATGGCTTGTAGCAATTTTTCAAATAGTAAATTAAGAAAGAAGAATTTCTGAGTAAATTACTTATTTTTCATATCTAGGAATTGTATTACGTTTCAATTCGAGAGTAGTGCACTAAACGAAAAATACTGTACTACAAGTATTTTCCGATCATAACCTGTAAAATTACAGGTTATCATAGGAAAAGTTAAAAAATGGCTTGTAGCAATTTTTCAAATTAGTAAATTAAGAAAAATTTCTTAATAAATTACTTATTTTTGATATCTATGAATTGTTTTACGTTTCAATTCGCGAGTAGTGCACAAAACAAAAAACACTGTACTACAAATATTATATAACAGTTTCTCCAAAACCCCTGAGATTATGGGTCGACTAAAAAAATTATTTAACATTAATAATTTGTCCTGCTTAATTATCAAAAGTTTAAAAGTAAAAAAGGTTAAATTTTATATAAATTTAAAATAATTGTATTTTATATAAAAACTGATTTAGATACAAACTGAGTTTGAATACTAAATTTTGGTAGAGGAAAACTATGTTGAATTTGTTATTATTTTTTTATGTCGTGTTTGTTTCTTTGGTCCATTGACTCAAATGTTATGTCTGCGTGACAGGGAGCCTTGTGCCAAATTGTCCGCATTGCTCAGTGCTCTAGTACAGCAGCCTATGCTGTTGTTGCGGCGGATCTTTAAATTGAATGCGAATTGGCCTAATGTCCTTGAACAGTTAAGGAATCTCCTTAAATTTTAATGATGTAAATAAATTTTAAATAGTCCTTATTATAATTACTCAAGCGTAGCTACTGTGTGTCTCAGAGGAGGGAATGCTCGTCTCCCATTCGAGGATTGAATCCCAGCTTTAACTGGTTGATATGAATTCGGCTTCCGGCTCGCACTAACTATAGCGCTGTAGTAAAATATCCTCAGTGGTAGATGGATCATGGGTTAGAATCCACTAACCATAGCGCTAATCGTGGGAAATGTTTATGGTTTTCCTCTCTATGTAACGCAAATGTGAGTTAGTTCCATAAAAAAAAGTCCTCCACGATGGCAAATTTCTCCCAATACTTGATCCAGGAATTCCTTTGCCTTCTAGATTGGGTTCAAAATTACATGGTTCCTAATGGGAGGCCCAAGTTCGAATCCCAGCTTTAGCTAGTCACTACGAATTCGGCTCCCGGATCTCACTGACTACTGTACTGTTGTAAACTATCCTCAGTGGTAGACGGATCATGGATTAGAATCCGCTGGCCATCGGGTTAAGTGGGGGAGGTTTTCCTCGCAATGTAAAGCAAATGCAGGCAAAACATCCTCCACGAAAACTAGTTCCA